CAGGCTGCACCAGGAACTGTGGGAGACTCAGGTGATGAAGCTGCTGAGGCGAGGCCGGGCAGGGAAGGCCCTGGCTGCCTCTGACTTCTCACTTTCCATGCTGCCCACAGGAGGGCCTGGAAGCCTCCACACTGCAAGATCTGCAATCAGCCCCACAGAGAGGCCCGGCCCAGCCCAGGGAAGGTGAGTGGAGATGCCCAGGGCAGGGTGGGCTGAGCAGAGCTGTGAAGCAGAGAGTTGAGGGGGAAGAGACCTGTAGGGTGCTGCTCATTCTCTGGCAGAGGGTGGTGGTCCCGGGGCCCCTGGCAAGGCAGGTGAAGAGGGGGCCTCTGGCTGCTCTGCCTCCCTGTGTGGCTCACTGGGGACCTCCTGGCTGCTCCCAGTTGGAAATGAAGGCGATGTGGAGGAAAGGAGTGTGGAGACTCCTCTGTCTGACGACACCACCCCTGCAGACTCGGGCAGCTCAGAGGCCCTGGTGAGTAGGTCTCCACTTCGTCCCTTCTCCATGTCCTGCCCTGGTCCCTCTGTGGTCCCTTTGGACACCCCAGTGCCTCGCTTTCCGCACCCTCTTGTTTCCACGGACCTCACAGCTTCCCTGGTCGGCTGTGGTCAGACGCTGTCCCCTGGGACCCTCGGGTGCCAGTGACAGTGGGGAGCTCCTTTCTGCTCCTTTCCCCACTTTGTCAGGAGCAGTCCCCCCGCAAGCACACCCCTTCTTCAGATGGCTTTTTTTTTGGTACCGGGGATCGAATTTGGGTCCTTGGGCTTGCGCGGTAGGTGGCGAAACCACTGAGCTAAATCCCTGGCCCAGATGGCATTTTTAATGATGGTCCTACCCCTGTCCAGGAACAGCGGGCTCTGCTGCCCAGGGACCTGAGGCAGCAGAAGGGGCAACGCTGCTACCTGACCCACCTGGCAGCCCCAACCCAGGACAAACCTGAGGATGAGGCTCGCACCCCAGGAGCAGGGCTGACCGTGTGTCCATGGGGAAGCTGCCGCTGAGTCTGTCCTGCCAGGCCGGGAAGGGTGGGCAGGGCAGGTGGGCACAGAGCCCTGACGCTGCTGCTCTGGCTCCTTGTGCTGGAGGTCTTGCAGGAGGAGGCAGCGATCAAGGAGGGGGCAGAGCACCTGGAGCATCAGTGGCTGGAGCTCTGTGGGGACACAGGCGACATCGGTGAGCCGGGCCAGGTCCAGGTAGCAGAGGCTGTAAGGTGTGGGGTCGGGGTCCCTGCAAGGGATGGCTCAGTGCTGTCCTCCTCCCCACTGCAGAGCCCACTGCTGTGTGTCCCAAACAGTGGGCAGTAGCAAAAGAGGGACATCAGGAGGAGGAGGAAGAGAAGGTGATGGAGAAGGAGGAGGAGGAGGAAGAGGAAGAAGAGGAGGAAGAGGAAGAGGAGGAGGAAGAGGAGGAGGAGGAAGAGGAGGAGGAGGAAGAGGAGGAGGAGGAGGACTCGGATGAGGAGGAGAAGGAGCAGCAGTGGAGCAGCCAGCTGTTCCCAGTGCAGGAAGAGCTGCAGGTAGGCCTGGACATCTCCCTGGCTACTTCAGGGCGCACACTGAGCCCCTGGCCCTCTGGGTAAAGGTGTTTGTGCTGCAGGACGTGGAGCTGGGGCTGGAGGACGATCCCAGGTCCATTCACGGCAAGTCTGGGGCCGCTGCACAGAGCCGTGGTGAGGAGCCCACTTCAGGGCCCACGGACACCCAGGACGTTGCCAGTGCAGCCGTGGAGGGTGGTGAGTGGAGCCCTGGGAGGGCAGCTGGGGCCGGAGTGGGCAGGGGCACAGCACTCAGTGCCTGCTGCTCTCTCTCCACAGATCCTCCAGAGGGGAGCCCTGCTCACACTGAGGAGCCGTCCATTGATGAGTCCAGTGGATAATCGTGCTGCAAGCATGTGAGGCCTGGTTGGAAGTGGGTCCCCGGCTGCCTTTTCCTTGGCTATGGCCCTCTGCCACCCTGCCCTGCCTTAGAGCCAGTCAACCACAGACTAGAACTGTGAGCCCAGTACACCTCTCCTCCTCTCAGCTGTGGGCACCAGGTGCTGTGTCTCAGGGATGGGAAAGTGAGCAAGACATGAAAGTCTTGGGCCTGGGCAAAATACTGACAAGGCCTGTTTGCCCAAATGTAACGTGCACAGCCCACAGCCCAGTTCCCAAGAGTCCCCACCTGAAACCCCCCGAGCCTTGCCTTCCCTCTGTGCGCTGGCTGCACTGGCATTCAGGGCTTCTGAGCTGCAATCAGAAATACCCACTGGACTCGGCTCATCGCCTTCCAGGGCTTCTCCAGCTCACAGCTCCTACCCTCCCGATTCCTCCCTTTTACACTGTTCCAAGTGCACCCGGACAACAAGTCAAATGCAGTTCCAGAAAGGACTCCACCTCTGGTCCCAGTTTTCCATAGTATTTTGCTGGGACCAGTACCTGACACCACAACCTAAGCAGGACAGTGTTGTTTGGCTCACAGTTTCACGAGACTCAGGCTATGTCTGCTGGCTCTAGAGCAGAACCACCATGGCAGACGGGCAAAGCTGCTCATTTCATGGCAGCTGGAAGCAGAGCAGGTCAATAGTTCCAGAGAGGACGGGGCCCGGTGTCAGGCAGAGTACCCCATGTTACACTTCAGCGACTCACCAGACACACTCAGGAGTGTGCTTTCCTAAGCTCCCCATCCGTTGTAAAGTTGATGAACTCACAGTCCATCCTTAGTGCCACATAAAGTTCCAGTGGGGTTCTCACTAGAAACAGTGCCACCCAGGACACAGAGGAGCAGCAGCTTTATGGAAACAAGTTCTAGCAATCATCAGCCCACAATCAGTGCTCAATAAACATGTCTTCCCAAACAAGGTGAAGCTAATCTTTCTCCTGTACAAAAGTCAAAGATATATTAGCACAAGAAGTTCCCGATTAGAAGTGTTAAAATGGGTCCTTTATTCAGAAGGAAAACAATTCCAAAAGGGAAAAAGTGTGTGCTAAGGCTATGGCTTGGCTTAGTGTTAGAGTTAGTGTTACTATGACAGTGAGGACTGGAGCAGAGCTAGGGTTAGGATCAGGGCTAGGGCTCGGTTAGACTAGGTTTAGAGCTTTGGCTAGGGTTGGGTTTCTGGTTAGTTTTAGGGTTGGGGTTAGGTTTAGGGCTAGGAATAAGGCTTGTGTTAGTTACGTTTTTGTCATTGTCGAGAAAAAATACCAAGACTCACATTTAAAGGGCAAAGGTTTATTCCTACAGGTTTCAGTCCATAATCAGCTGGCTCCAAGGCAGGGTCTCAGAGGGGCAACAGTTCACAGAGGTGGAAGACAGCAAATGCAACAAGGGAACCTTACCAGTGTCTTCCTGACCCTTTTACATTGTTCAAAATACTTAGGAAAGGAAGCACTCATGCCCTTAATCCCAGTGCTTTCAGGCCTAGACCCACCATGAATCAATCACACACTCTAGATTCAATACCTGTGGAAGTGCATGAGGCTTGTAAATGCACGAGGGGCACCTAAACCCAAGCCATAACAGGGCTAGTGCTAGTGTTAGGGTTATGATTAGGATTCAGTGAGTGTTACATTTTGAGTCAGGGCTAGTGCTAGTGTTAGGGTTATGATTAGGATTCAGTGAGTGTTACATTTTGAGTCAGGGCTAGTGCTAGCCTAGGGTTAGGGGTTTAGAGCTTCACTCTAACATTAGGGCTAGGGTTAGATTTGGGGATGGATTTATCTTTAGCATTAGGATTAGGGCTAAAACTAGGGTTCCCATTAGGAAAATGAAACATTGAAGAGAGGTCTTGCTATGTATTCAGGGCTGAACTTGAACCTGCCATCCTCCTGCCTCTTCCTTCTGAGTGCTGGGATCTGTCATGCAGAACTACACCCAACTGATGTGCTCTTTCTGTAAATAAAGTCTTGTTCAAAATCATCATGCTGACTTGTTTAGCTGGCTTATGTGCTTTCACCATACAACAGCAGAGATTAGATGGCCCACGGAGAATAAAGTATTTATGATCTGACTCACTAAAGAAAATGTTTGCTGATCCCTGTTTTATAACCATGGGCAGTGGAAATTATTCACATTTACTGATGAATGAACTCAAACAGAGAAATTAGGTAAGTAACCCAAAGTGATACTCTAATAAATGGCAGAGCTAGACTCTGATTTGAGGTCAGGCTTCTCTGCTGAACCCAGGGTCAGTGTCTGCACTGCTCCCAACCTCACCTTCACTTCCTCCCTCCTATCTACAATTATGCTACCCCCAATAAATACCCCCTTCAGTCTTCAGAGCTGGCCTGCTCCTCCAGGCGTCTGACCCTGACCACCCCCCGGGCAGTGCTTTCTCCACACAGTGTCCTTCCTGGGAGTTTGGCATTATCCTCGGCTGCCCTGAATTATCTTTTTCTATGAGTGTCCTATCTGCTACAGAGGCTGCAGATTCCTGCCGGTGAGGACTGTGACGCCCCATGCTGCACCCTGGTAGGCTTAGGGTCCACACTGGGGCCAATACAACAGCAAGTCCATTGGAATGGTGAGCGTCATTCCATAGAAATAAATCTTGCTGACCCTTATACAGAATTCATGGAAAATGGAAAGCTGAAATATGGATACGGTGTGTAAAGCATGATAGAAGAAAACTGGAGAAAAACATGTAAGGATAAAAGCATCTTTTTCTTTTCTTTTTTCTTTTTTCACAACTGAGAACCAAATCCAGAGGTGGTCCT